AGTTCAACACTGTCCTATAGAGTTGCTTTGAGTTGCAATTGACTTGGTGGCAATGAGTTTTGGTGCTCGCTGTGAAGGAGAATGAATCTGGTCCATTGTCAAGAAGCAAGGGCTGAAGGATGCCTGCAGAGCTGTGAACCAATACGTTCCTAACTGGCACTCTAAATTTAGCATGTCTCTTCATAAAACCACACGTAAAAGCCTCTAATTTCCCTACTATAAGTGAAAAAAATTGTCTCCAAGTTCCTTTGCTCCCTATGTGGCCATAAACTATATATAGCACAGAATTTTTCTGGAGCTCATCATCATAGCGCTACTTGAATGTAAAACACAAATATAATGAAATATTCTTCCTACTAACCTTTATCTTAGGTGAGCTACTGGTACCCTGTTTCCCCAAAATAAGGCAGTGGTTTATATTAATTTTTGCTCCCAAAGATGTGCTAGGTCTTATTTTTAGGGGATGTCTTATTTTTCCGTGAAGAAGAGTATGGTACGCATTTATTGTTTATTGTTTTATTAAAAGAGACCTCACACTTCCTGTCTGCTCCGGCTGCGCTGCGGCCAACAGTGAGCTGCATGGCGGCGCCAGCCACTACGGTCCAGAGTCCAGAATTACGGTAGTTTGGGGGGGGCTTATTTTCGGGGAGGTCTTATTTTCAGGGGGATGCCTTATATTTCAGTGAGAGGCAAAACTATAAGTAGGTCTTATTTTGGGGGGATGTCTTACTTTCGGGCAAACAGGGTATGTGCAGATCCTTGTTATTCTTCAGCCTGGAAAGTAGCTTGCCCTCTACCAACTACACATTCGTCTGCTCAGGGAGCCTGCATAGCTTTGCTTCCTGCAGATGAAGCAGCAGGCACATACGAGGAGGCTTCAAAAACTTCACAGACAAATTCCAATCTCCTTTAATTCCATTTTGCCATGAACTTTTGAAGCCCCCTCATGGAATAGAGGTACAGTTGCCTAAATGTCTCAGGAAGGTCGGGATGTTGCTCAGATCTTGATCCGTGTGTTGCTCATCAAAGCTGGTACAGATTTAGGACTGGTTTTCTCTCGTTGTTTGGCACTGACTTCATTATTATTATTACGATTAGTATTTCATAATATAATTTTAGTTGATAATGGTTTCTCACAAAGTTTGGCTCTCTAGGTATTAAAATAACTGACAATAGGCAAGAATGAAAAGATGCAAAACTGCCTAAGTATAACTTGGTACTGCCATTTAAAAGCTGTGCAACCAGGATCAAGTTATTTTCGAAACACCTTGATGCCTCAGTTCCCACTTCTGCACAACGAAGATAAAGAATAATATCCATTTTTAGGGAGGTTGTGAGGATTAAATTATTTAATACATAGAAACAGCTTCGAAGAATACTTGGAATATATTGAGCTCTCAGTGTACATTATTCATTCAATGATCACATTGCTGTGAAATAGATACCAATTTATCCCAATTCTGTGAATAAGGAAACGGAGACACAAAGGGATCAAGTAACTTGCCTGAGATCCTGCAGCTAGTATGATACCTGCCTCTCTAAACCCCCTCAAAAGCCAAAAAGCATTGATCAAATTGATGCCAACTCTTAAGCAACCCTATAGGAAAGGGTAGACCTGCCTCTGTGAGTTTTCAAGACTGTAACTCTTTATGGGGGTAGAAAGACTCATCTTTCTCCCTTAGAGTGGCTGGTGGTTTCAAACTGCTGACCTTATAATTAGTAGCTCAACATGTAACCACTGTGCCTTTTAGATGCCTCCCTAGAAGATCATGATCAAATTTTCAGATTGTAAGCTTCAGATGTACCATTTCAGCAACTATTTATTTACTCGTTACGTTGATGCTTTTCTGTCTGTTGGAGGCAGAATTCCAACAGGCCTCCAAGGTTCTTGCCCTCTGGTTTATCATCCCTATTCATCAGGGCAGGTAGGATCTGCGAATATGATAGATATCATATATTTCCATTTATTTGCTCAAGTTCTCTTTGAAGAATAACTGAACTGGTACTCAACTTATTTTGAAAAACATAAGTAGAAATACTGTAAATTAGTCAATCATGCCTGAGTATATTTTGAGGCTACTATAAGACCACTTTCCTATTCCTTGCCTTATCACTTAGAATACATTCAATGTTTTATTTTTATATGCAATAGTTAAACTTAACATATTTGTCTAAAAATTATCTGATAAATTTAGAGATAATGAAAGAAAGCTGATGTATTATTACAAATCTGTCTTGGAAGAAGTATGGCCAGAGTGCTCCTTAGAAGCAAGGATGATGCGGCGTTGTCTCTCATACTGTGGACATGTTGTCAGGGGAGACCAGTCCCTGGAGAAGGGCATCATGCTTGGTAAAGTGGAGGGGCAGTGAAAGAGAGGAAAGCCCTCCTCTAGATGGAGTGACACCATGGTTGCAACAAATGGGCTCGGGCAGAGAAACAATTGAGAAGATGGCGCAGGACTGGGCAGTGGTTCATTCTGTTGGGCAAAAGGCCACGATGGGTCAGAATCAACTGGATGGCACCTAACAACACAACAACAATGACAACCCAAGAGATAAAAGAAGTCACACAGCACCATTAAATGTAGGACATGTCTATCTACAGTTTTGAACGGTTCTTGAAATTATAGCTAACCTTGTCTGTCATTGTTATTCAGTCATTAATCCTTTAAACCATTTTGGGTAGTTTCCAACAGAATCAAGAGTCAGTTTTAACACTCTTTGTCATTTTATGTTCCCTAATTGTGTTAAAGATATATTATTTACTGTGTTTTAATTTTTGTTCCATTTTTCCTTCTGTTTTTAGAAACAAAAGCAGAATTTAAAATCCTTTGGTGTAACTATTACAATTTACCACACGCAAAACAAAACAGAAACCTCCTTTCTACTAGTTATCTTCTAGATAGAGTTCAGTTGGCCTTTTGCTGCTAAAATTGCTTTTAGTTTGCTCCATAGAGCCAGGGCTTTCACACTCTCAGTTCTAACCCTCCTTCTTCTGCCAAGTCAGTGACCTTGCTCTGTTTCTTTAACTTTGCTCTCTCATCTGGTATACTGGCCCAGGTAACACTTCCTTCAGGGAGTTGTTATAACGATAAGGGAGATAATGACTATAAAGTACTTAGCATTCTGACAGATATGTGGTAGATGTTCTGCAAATGTTATCTAGTAATAACTTGTGTGATAGTAAATTATAATAATAAAGGATGTATTTTGGCATATTAGTTTTCTTTTTCCAGAACACGCTGTAGCAATTGATAATTATGTTTTAAATTACATGATTTCACTGAATGAACAGAATTGAACAAATTAATTTTTTTACAAGTGTGAATTAAATAACTTTGTTATAACTGTGCCATACTACTCAATGTAGTTTCCTGCAGTGGCTTGAAATATAATATAGCGATTAGTATAAAATTAGCAAATAAAGCAAGACCATTTTAAACTCCTTCTAGAATTGACTTGTTTATTCCAGTGGCAAGTGCTGCAGTTTAAAGTTTCTAGTACATTATCTCAGAAGCAGACAGCAAGATTCTCGTAGAGTTTTGCTTCTAACTCTTATTTTTGTTTATTGGCATCTTTAATCTATTCAATATTGATAACTTTTTATGGTAAAGCCAATGTTTTGCTAATGATTTGTATTCCCATAGCAGGTATTTATAAACAAAATCACTCAAGAAGAAAACTCTGAAAAAATTTGTGATTTAATATGGTGGATTGATTGGTATTTCTTTTTCTTTTTTAAAATAAAAGTCTATAGTCTAGTATTTTTGCCATTTCTCCTTTTATCCTAATTCTTAGTGTTACCAATACCCAAACAGGAGAGATACTGTTGCTTAATACCAGTGTGTTACGTGAAGTTTGACTGTTGTAATGCACTTACATTGGGCCATTTATATATATCCATTACCTTTATAGTTAAACACCTAAAAGAGAAAATAAAAATTTAAATCTGTCCCCTCATAATGTTTTTGTTCCTGTAAGCAGCAGTAATTTGAAGTTCAGCCAATTTTTTTGTGTTAAGTGTGTCCATTTTGTCATTTTACCCAGGTCTACTGTTAAACATTGTAAGAGGAATTATCATATATGTATATGATAATATATGTGTGTGTGTATATATATATATATATAGAGAGAGAGAGAGAGAGAGAAATAGGGTCCCAGTGAGCTATATCATTTGTGAGCCCTGATGAAAAATGCTAATTTGGAGCCTCGTGTTCAAAAAGGACTGACAATTGCAAGGAGGCAACAGCAGAACATAAGGTTCCCTGTTTCTGAAGTATGGTCTTCTTGTTGGTACTTTCAAATACTTACTGGTTTCTGAAAGCATCAGGACTTAAACATCAGAGAAGAAATAGATGTAAGCTGTTCATCATGATCATATTGGTAGACTGGACAATGAGATTACTGGTCATTGTAAGATGGTCAACAAAGCCACAGAAATGAGAAAAAGTAATTCATCCCATGAGTAATGACTGAATCCTTTGAATGTAGAAAAACCGAGGAGAATATAAAGCATTTATTTAGTGTTGTCTTAAGAGCCATATTGAACCATAGGAGTCATATTGAGCTCCTTTGAAAATACATTATCTTGATTTGGTGGTGGTGTGGTTACTCGTTGGGCTGCTACAGTCTCAGAAACCCACAGTTCTACCCTGTCCTGTAGGGGTGTTATGAGTCAGAATTGAGTCCATGGCAGTACGTTTTTATTTTTAATTTGACTTTTTTGGGAAATCTTATGAAATAATTTTTACTATCCATTTTCTGCATGAGGAACCAGTGCGCTGATGAGGGTGTTTCGTAAAAAAAATTAAATACATAGCCCTTGGCCTCTTTTTGCCTGCTGATATTGGAAACCTTATGAAGTAGTTCTACTCTGCTCTATACCATGTTGGAATTAACTCTTATGGCTTTTATTGTTCCTTGCAAAAAACGTATAACAAAAAGTGATTTGTGTGAACTTATAACATGTGGTTGCCATTCTTTTTCCTTCTTGTTTCCAGTGTAAAACTCTTTCTGGAGTCTGTGATCACATCATATCCCTGTCATCAGATCCTCTGGTTTCACAATCTGCCCACCTGGAAGTGATTCAGCTGGCAAACATCAAGCCAAGTGAAGGCCTGGTAAGAGATACCATGTTTATCAATGCCATCATTCATCAGCAGACAGTTAATAACATGGGTAAAGCAACTTCCAAATACGGCAGTCTGTGAATTTTAACACTCACTGAGCAGATTTATATTTTCTTTAGGGAGTTAAGGTAGTGCGAGTTTTCATGATAAGATGTTTTAGGAAGATAAATTAAAATGAAATAAAACGGAAATGGTGCATTTTGAATTACCCTGTTTACCATGGTAATAATTTAGCTTTCTTGTAATTTTCTATCCCCCTCACCAAAGTGCTACTTAAATTTTAAAGGAAATTCAAGTTCTATGATAAACACCGCATTGTTTTCTACCAAAGCACCATTTACGGGGGTGTCTTGTTTGTTTTACTTTAGTTTGTTCTCATTTTAATAGTTCTTTCTTCCCAAGGGTGAGTAAGCCAAACAAAACTCATATTCTTTATAATTCAAAGCTATTCTTTTTGAGGGCAAATAAGCAAGTGGATATTGCCAATAATAGGCTTACAGCCGTGCGTTCTATTTTTACTTGTATTGTGTAATAAGATAATCATCTTCTATATTTTGTTCACCTGATTAAAAAGTGTATTGGTTCTAAATTTAACCCAAGGGAGAGGTTTTTGTTTTGTTCTGTTTTTAAATAAGCTTCTAGTCCCCGCAAAAGCCTGTAAAATTGATGCTAAAGAGGGAGGAAGAGAGACAAAAACCAGTAGCAACAAACTTGGTCAAGAGCATCTTTCCTCCACAGTTATTCCAGGTTAGCTTAGTGCTGCAGTGTCTACTTTCTCCTTGTAATTGGATTTTTCCATGGGAACCATTAATACTTTTTTAGAAAGCAGAAATCTTGGGAACTTAGCATAAATAATCGAATTCAGGTAGTACATTCTTAAGGAACACCAAGCATGTTTAACTGCTGATGTGAATTTTTTTCTTCCAACAGCCTCAAAGGGCAAAACCCTCAGTGATTGATCACCAGTGATTTTTAGTTCTGAAGCTGTCTGTTCTATAAAGTCATTTTAACTTGTCTCTCAATATTTAGCAATCTCTTTATGGGCATCTTTAGTTCATAGTGCTAGTGAATGTGGCTTTTAAGGGTGTTTTCCTGGAATGGTGGAAATCAGCTTGTCAGACATAGCCAGCATGCTATCATCATAGCATATAACTATTATATATAATTTTGATTCATTTTAAGAGATTATTTCTAACATTTATAAACTCATTGGAAGTAATTATGGTTTTAAATTCTTAGTTTAGTTTTATTTAAAAGATCCTTCCATCTATAGCAGGAGGAGCCCTGGTTGCATTGTGGTTACTTGTTTGGCTGTGATCACAAGGTCAGCAGTTTGAAATGACCAGCTGCTCCTCAGGAGAATGACGGGGCTTTCTACTCATGTTAAGAGTACAATCTTGGAAGCTTACAGGAACAGTCCTGCCCTGTCCTATAGGGTCTCTATAAGTTGGCATTAACTCATTGGCAGTGAGAGTTGTCAACCTATAATATTAAAACTTTTTCTTTCTACATATTCTCTTTCAGTACTTGTAAAGGAAAGAAGCCTCTCTAAGCATGATATATAGAATGGAAAATTATTAACTAATATTAGACTAGGAGTCGAAACACTGGCACACAAATTGCTTACATGCTCTTAGTGTGTTGTGGTGGGGGTGTAAATTTAACCTTTGACATCAGTATTTTCATCTGTAAAAGGGAAAGGGGCAAGGATGGGTGGCTAAAAACTCAAAACCAGTTTCCACCGAGTCATTTCTTATTCAGAGTAGAATCAAGTTTTTCAGGGTTTTCAATAGCTGATTGTAGGAAGTAGATTGTGAAGCTTTTCTTCAGAGGCATCTCTAGGTGGACTACAATTAGATCTCCCTTTAAAGTCCCTTCTATTTCTAGGCATCTGTGCTTTTAAGGATAATGGTATTCTGAGAGTCTCATTTTATCCCCTCCAACTTTCACTGAAATCATTGGGTGTCTGTAAATAGCCACATAAACTAGTCAATACAATGCTAATTAATGGACTTTATGAAATCTTGAATTTCTTTAAATAAAGACAAATCCCTGGACATGTCTTTTACTTTTTTTAGTTTAGAAGGAAAATATGTGTCTGTTCTCTGGAATTGTCATTATTTTAAAATGCTAAGCACCATATTCAATTAAATAATCTGGAAAATCGAAGGGAAAGAATAGGAATGCCTACCATTTGCCAAGTAATTTTCTCAAAATTTTACAGAGTAGGTATTAATTTTCCAATTTTACAAATGAGACAACATCAATTTGCCCTATATTACATTGTTACAAATAGAAGCTCACCACAATTTGAGGGTTTCTGTATGCATGTATGGGGGTCATTTTGTTTCCAGAAAAAGCAAATGGCCTGAAGAGGTTAGGTACAATGGGGCTTAAAACAAGAAGTTCCACTGAGTTGATTCTGAGTTCTAGTGACCCCACAGGCAGAGTGCAACTGCCCTGTGGAGTTTCTAAGACCATGATTCTTTACAGTACCAGAAAACAACATAATTCTCCCTCAAAGTGGCTGGTTGGTTCCAACCACCAAGGTTTTGGTTAGAATGCGCAGTTTAACCCTTGGTTTAATAAGGCTCCTTATAATAAGAAGAAAACCCTAAAACCAAACCAACTGCCATCCAATGGATTCTGACTCATAGTGAACCTTTTGGGCAGAATACTACTGCTTCTTAGAGTTTTGGAGACGGTAAGTCTTTGCTCACTGCCAGTGAGTTGATTTACTCATAGTGACCTGTAGAATTTCAGAGACTAAGTCTTTCCAGAAGTAGAAAGCCTGGTCTTTCTTGTGTGGAGCAACTGGTGGTTTCAAACTGCTGACCTTGTGATTATCAGCCCAACATTTAACCACTGCACCACCAGGGCAGACAGCATTATCACAGAGAGGCTGGTGGGTTTGAACTGCTGACCTAGTGTTTAACAACCCAATACAGAACTCACTGCACAAGAGTCCTTATAAAGAGAAGAGGGAGAAACATAGATTAACCATTAGCTAATTTTAACACAGTTTATTACTGATGACTGGTCACTTCTAACCTGGCTGCTAATGATAATGTAGCCTTCTCCCCACTACTACCCATTGCTAGCCCGGAGGCTTTTGAGGATTTCAGTTAGGAGGTAATGGTTTGACAATGCTCCTTTTCTATTGTCTATGAGTTGGGCTGCTAATTACAAGGTTAGCAGTTCAAAACCTGACCCAGCTTTTCAGGATAAAAGCGAGGTTTTCAATTACTGCCAAGAGTTACAGTCTTGGAAACTCCCAGGGACAGTTCCATCCTGCCTCTAGGGTCGCTATGAGTCAGTATTGACTTGATGCAAGTGAGAGAGAGCAGTTTCTGACTGGCGTTTACAGTTTAGTTCAGTCTCTTTATAGTTAATATTTGATTCTATGCAAAAGAAACCTTTCAAATCCAAGTAAGATGCCATTAATTTTCCTTCTCGACAACATATAGATAATAAATAATAGAGGAAGGGCTTAAGTCCAGGTAAATCTAAATGAAGTGCAACTGAACAAAGCTTGTTCCATGATCCCACATTCAAATTTGCAATTGGTCAAGGAACGTGTGAGAATTTGGGGAGAATGACTTAAAACAGGAACTACTTTGGGAAATTTATGTTAAAAGGACAATGGGGAAGGATAATTGGGAAGACAATTCCAGTGGAAGAAAAGAAAAATGAGATGTGTTCAAAATGAATTTATAAAACTTTTTCTGGTGATTCATAGGAGAGGAGACTAAATAAAGACTTTAAAATAATTTATTCAAGGTTGTGATTTTTAAAAATCAGCCACCATTAAGGGAGTTTAGTCACTTATATTTGAATTAAATAGAGTTGCTGATTTTGGTAACACTTAGCCTGTGCTTAGCCACAGAAAGTATCCAAATGATAAATGAAGGAAAGAAGTAGAAAGGGGGAGGGGATTAAGCTTTAATGAGGTGTAATTAGCTTAGAAAAATTTTTTGACGGCCTGCCAATCTCAGAACAGAATGTCTCATATACAACAGATCATTACTTTTTTATTCAACTGACAAAATAGATACAGGCAGTCCCCCTGGTTACAGATGAGATCTGTTCCTCATTGTGTCTTTAAATTGTTTTTGTAGGTAAGTTGGAACAAGTTCAATTCAACCTTATGGAGTCCAGGTGGTGTAGTAGTTATGCAATATCCTGTGATCTTCAGGTCAGCAGTTTTGAAACCCAGCCAGCTCCACGAGAGATAAACAAGGCTTTCAACTCCCATAAAGAGTTGGAGTCTCAGAAACTCACAGAGGCAGTTCCACCCTTTGCTGTAAAGTTGCTCTGAGTCTGCAGCAACTCAATGGCAATGAGTTATAGTGGAGCTCTGGTGGGGTATGTAGTTGGTTAGTTATTGAGCTACTAAATGTATAGTCCAAAGGTTCAAACCCACTAGACACACCTCAGGAGAAAGATGATGCTTTCTTCTCTACTAAAGAGCTGCAGTCTTGGAAACCCATGGGAGGCAGTTCTGTCTACTCTGTCTTTGAGAGTCACAGTGGGTCAGAAATGACTCCATGGCAATGAGTTCCATTTTGTTGTGGTGGTTGTTGTTGTTTGTTTAATTTGGGTTAGTGTAAGGGAAACCTTTTAAGTGATTGAAATGTGATGCATGTAGCAATTGTAGGCGATTGTGATGAAGAATTTGTTGCCAATAGGAGCTGATTCAATCATTCCCAAGTGAGGGCAAATTTGCATAATACGAAAGGGCAACTCTAAGGCTTCTATTACTCTGAAAGTCGGAGTTCTTAACCCAGGGACTTACTTTAGATTGTTTCTGTCACAGAAGAAAATCTTGTACTCTGTTAGGAGTGAAGAAAAAGGAATGTTATTGAGGAATAATACAGCTGGAGTTGGACAGCGGGAAGTAAAAATACAATGCGCCCTGGGGTCTCTATGGAGTTAGAGGTTTTTATACTGGAGAACAAAGAAGTCTTGATAGGGCTGCAGCTCTTGAGTCT